GGTTTGAACTTCCTTTGAAAATCTTGTCTAATTTGTCTCCGTGTAATTTTCAAAATAATATATTTTTTTAAATAGTCTCTTATGTCAAGTTAAATGTACAAGAAAAAATGGTCAATGATCCCTGAAGACATGGCTGTGGCTTACTAACTTTGTCAGTCTGTTGCAAGCCATTAAATAGCACTGTGACCACAAAATTGCAGACATAAACCTGTGAAATGTCTCTATTAGGAAGCAAGCTTAAAAATAGCCTGTAATACACTTTAAGGTGTGAGTTTTATTGCTTGATTTCAAAAGATTTTGTGTCAACAGGTATTTGAGTTCCTTTCCAAGATATAACATTACATTTCTCTAAGTAGATTTTTAATAAATAGTCATTAAATCATTTATACTTGGGAATTGTCAAGTAAAACTTGGGTTATTAATTTTGAAAATGTATTGAAATGAACCACTTGCTGATAATAACAAAAATATCTCAAAATTGATCCTTTTCTGTTTGCCTGCAAAAGAACTTTGTGATATTCGATTATTACTGTATTATAGGTAAACAAATTTTAGAGCAGTAGGCAAATGTAGAAGGTCCCTTTGGTTTCTATTAAACACAACTCTTTCTGTTAGAACCGGAATTGGTTCTTTTTTTTGTTTGGTTTCAAGTTTGGTTGGGGGGTGGGGGGTGTTTGTTTATTTTGGGTTTGTTTTTTGGTTTGTTTTTTTTTTTTTTTTTCCAGATACTGGTTGTTGCTGATAATTTAAAAGTACAAAAAAAAATCCCAGCTGTTTTCATTTTAGATACCAAAGCATTTTTGTACATTTGCCGATTAAAGCTTATGATTTGCCTGACTAACTGCTGAGGTTGAGGGGTTATTTATGTCTTGGGGTCAGACTTGAAGGCAAGGGAGGGTAGGCTGGGAACAGACTTGCTTATTGTTATTTGAGTTGACATTGGTTCTGTGATCCAGGGCGTACAGTCTGTGCTGTTAATTACTCAGCACAGGGAACTGTACAGCTGCTCAGTGGCTGAAGACCAAAACACAGTTTTCACCCATCACAGGTTTAATCAGTTTCTTATACAGGGCATCTCATGCATTCTCTTACTACTGTTATTTGTTGTGTGGGGTTTTTTGTTGTTGTTGTTGTCGTGTCATGTGCAGAAGAATTAAATTAGTCTTTTAGGTCCATACTAAGCATGCATTCAAATTCTTGTTGTAGGACTACGTAGCAGTTGATAGTATATAAGTTTGGTACGCCAGTCCTCTTGATATCACAAGTTTCTTTGGAATACCTTCTTCAGCTCTTTGCTTAGGCAGTCAGTCTAAAGTCCAGCTGCTCAGCTGCACATTGAAGATCCCCAGTGCTGTAATTTTATAGCTGCTGTGGTTGATGTCCTGTTTTTTTCAGGCCTTCACGACACTTTGCCTACTTATGCAAAATACTTGAGACTGGTCTGATCCCTTGCTATCTGTAGATACTTGTTAAACCTTCTGGCAAGCCTGAAGTATCATCCTGTGTAGTGATGGTTCTCAAGAGGGACCTTGTTGATACAGTAACTATCAGTGGCTCTATTTGTTTATGTGAAAGATATTTGCTCTGTGAAGATAAAAAACTCTGACTGTACTCTAGTAGCATCGGATGAAACTTGACTTTTTTCCTTTTTTTTTTTTTTTTTTTTGACAACCCTATGGATCATTAACACAGGCAAATGAAATTTAAATATTTAACCAGTAAAGACAGATTAGTTGAGAAGTTCCTGGAGGCTGTTCCAGAGATGAGGCATCATAAGAGTTCACTATCAGCAGTAACTTGAACTGATCTAGATTTGTTAGCCAATAGTTGAGATGCAAGTCTGAAAATTTTGTTTTCACTTATGGCATTGTATTAGTTTTTAAAAGGGGCAGTTTTTGTGACAGAATCTTTGGACAGGCTGTTAAGTTCATCCCAGTATGCTGTGGGTGCTTGAGAGGAGTAGAGATTGGTGATTCTGTTTGTGGAGATTTGATATCTGACTGTCTGCCTGCAGAAGTGACTTACTGCAGCCTGAAAATATAGGAAAATGCAGTTAGAGTAAATAGAATTGCAAGTAGAGTAGCAACAAGTATAGAAATGCTTGGAAGAGTCTACAGAACCAAATGTACTCTGTGGAGAGTGGAGGGGAAGGATAAAATGTGGAAAATGCACTTGCCCTATATGAGGTATAAAGTTTGAAGAAATGCTTTTAACAGCTGCCAGCCAGCAATACAAACCTTTCTCAAGACAGGAAAGCTGAGGTCAGTGAACGTGAGATCACGGCTTAGGAGCTCACTGGTCTCCAGCAAGGAGCTCTGCAGAGATGCTGTCTCTGTAAACTTGGGGAGTGAGTAGTCACGTGGAAGAGACACAGAGAGAGAGAATAGCAAAAGGCTAAACTGGATGCTACTAGTAAACATGGCATTTTAAAGAAAAGAAACCTACAATTTCCCGAAGTACCTAAGTAGCCTATACAAAGAGTTTTTCTTGAGTTTTTGTGCATACCTTGTGCATTTTTTTTTCCATGAAATCATCTGATTCAACAGGAGTAAGGATTATGCCAAGGAAAGTGTACCTCAAGTCCTTCCCAGTAGCCCAGAGCTTCTGATTTTGGGAAGGTGAATTGATTCATAAAGTGCCAGCTGTAAAGATAAAACAGTTTCATGGAGATAGTTATAATGAAAAATTTGGAAGAGAACTCTCTTGTTTTATGTGTTTTGGGTTATGGTGAGCATGTTCTAGTTACTGGGAATAACAGCCGATGTTTTGATGTTAAAACCATGGCTTGTCTTGAATATATAAAGGATGCCTGCATTTACCAAAAACTTTACTTTTAACTCTGGTAATTACCAGTGCTGTCAACAGATGAATTTGGAAAGAGTATAAAAATATGAGGAGTTTGTCAGAAAACTAGGTGAGACAAAGGAAAGAACCCAAGAATGAAGAATTTCAGAAATGAATTCTATTAACCAGGCATTGTCAGCTTTCCTGGGGAAAAAAAATTATGGTACCTTGTATGTCATTTCTGTGAAGCTGATTGTTCCCTATGTCAATAGTGTCTGTTTCCAGATGAAATAAAATATTTTTCAAACAAATCTGAGCATTGCCATTGTTCCTAGCTTTTTACTTAAATATTTTGGCTTGTGGATAATGAACTAAATGTATATGTTTATAAATGCTAGGAAAAAAAGCATTCTGATGGTGAGTTCCTCTTTATATATCCAAATGTAGCTTTATTAAAAACTTTGAATTTAAAAATGTGATAGGACTTGCAAGAATCTGAGTTCTCAAAAGCACAGAAATTTTAGGTTGGTCCCAGATGATTTCAACTGGATGATGTGTTAAGAAATGTAATTTAATGGTAACTGTGTAGAAGCTGCTATGGTTTCATATGCTAAGTGTGATGCCATATGGTACAGAATAACCCTTGATCACTTGGGGTCAGCTGTCCTGGCTGTGTCCCCTTCCAGCTCCTTGTGGACTCCCAGCCCCCTTGCTGGCAGAGTGGGGTGAGAAGCAGAAAATGCCTTGACTCTGTTTAAGCACTGCTCAGCAGTAACAAAAACCACCTCTGAATTATCAACACTGTTTTCAGCACAAATCCAAAACAAAGCCCCATAGTAGATATTGTGAAGAAAATCAAGCACAAGAAAAACAGCACAATGGGATCATAAAATGCCTGTTTTCAAGAGAGGAGAGGTAAAGATAAAGCTGGTTTGAAAAAGCAGCAGAGAATTAGGACAAGGTGTCTTGGACACAGAGGCAGTTTTGTGTGTATGGACCCACTGTTACTTGTAGTTACAGTAAACTTTTATTGTTATGTTCTGTTTCACGTAACAGCCACAACACAAATCTTTAAGTGAACAAGATGTATTTTCCAATAATGCTATTTTTTTTATTGTGAAATATACTTTTTTAATGAACAGGCTATTCAATTCATCCAGTTCATTTTGTGAACTCTCAATGTATTTACTGCTGTTTGAATACTGCTCTGGGGACTCTTGGTGTTTATTAGTGTTTTCACGGGCATTTCTCACGAAGCACATCATGAACACAGTACAAAAAACTCCAGGTGTGGATGTGAATAAATACTAAGTACTTCTGCAGATCAGACCAGCCCTGCACACAAACAAGCTATTTTGCTTCCAACTGAAGTGCTATGTTCTTGCTCCTCCTGCTATATCAGGATCTTCTGGCATGTTCCCCACAGCTGAAACACTAAGTGTTCGCCCTATTAGAAAACTGTTGACTTTTGATCACTTGCAGCAGTTTGAGAATGCATTTTCATGTTCCCTCTGATCTGCCCTATTTGCATTTACGTGGTACCAGCACAATATTGCCACGATCCAGCAATTAAATATTTTAGAAGAGTTCAATTTCTTATTTTTGCTTTGTTGTTGCTGAGGTTTGTTGTTGATTGGATTAGTCCCCACTGACTTCCCGTGGGGTTGAACAGGCAGTGGTACAGAGGAAGTACAGGATGGGTGGCTGGAGAGGTAGGCAATGCTTCCTTGGAGCTCATCCATCAGGCGACTCAGCCGCGTTGTAAAATCTGTAAACGTGTTTTCACTTAACACTTTAGAGCAATGTAATTTGGCCTTGCTTCAAAATGATCTAATTTCCTTCATTCTAATCGATGAGTTCCTGCCCTTCCTTTTTAAGTCATTGCACATTTTGACTGGCATACACAGGTCAGGCCTAAACTGATCTTTACTGGGTAGAAAGCCTGGCTATACTAGAATAGTTTCCACTGGAGGCACGTGAACAAAATCAAATATCTAACCTTATATATGCTGGAAGAGCATCAATTGATCTTCCTTCGTGTATATACAAATTTTCCTATAGGTTGTTCCTTTAAAAAGTAAAAATAATGCATTCTTGGTATATGGAGCACAGCCCAGAAATCAGTGAAGACTTCCTAAACACTTGATATCTTTTATTAAGAATACTAACTGTGAAGGTATTTCCTCTTGAAATTAATTATTTTTATTTGTTTGTAGGTTTTCACTACTTCTTCTTAACCTGGAAGAATATTATTTTGAACAGCACACAGCTAATCATATTATAAATAAAGGTCACAAAGATGAAAGGTACACAACTTTTACATCCTTTCATTTACTGGAGTCATTCTAGTCTCGTGTATTTGAACACAACTAATTTTTTTTATTATTTCTTTTAGAAAATTCAGAGGCTCTCTAAAAATCTGTTCAAAGTCAATTATCTTTGAACCAGATGACAACATCCAACCCATTATCAAGGTAAGCAGTGTGAACTTAAATTTTCTGGTAACTTAAGAGTCTCTTTAAAAAGGTTTTAAGAAAGATTTTATATTTTTATGACTTGCTGCAGATACCACTGAGAGACTGCATTAGTATAAAGGCCCCAGAAGATAATGAAGCAAATAATCCTTTCACACGGTAGGTGAATTTGGGTTACTGTATACATGTATTTAAATTCCTTTAAAACTGAAACACCCATCACTTCAGATATCTTATTTACATTTTAGGGATACATCTGGAGGGATTTCAGTTCTATGTAGCCAGGTAAGACCTGCATATAACAGTTTCTTGATGTATAAATGAGTGAGGTTACATAAAGAAGCAAACTTACATTCTTTAATGGTGTTTGTCTCAAAACTGGAGTCCTAGGGTAGAGAGTTAACTGAAAACAAAACTAATTAGTGTCAAAAACTCAGCAGTAATATGAAGCTTTTGATACTGGAAATTTTGAACTGTTAATGACTTCATAAAGTCATTAATTTCATAAAGTGAACTTTTTGCAATTTGCGTTTTATAATTGAGCTTAAGGAAACTTTAGAATTGAATGAAAGAGGAGGGTAGACTGAAATGCTTTCTTCTACTTCCTCTGGTGTGTTGTGGTAATGGCAAAGACATCTTGATCCTTGCAGTTCAGTTTTGTGAAAACTTTGGATTGTGCTGTATGTCCACCAAACAGTTTTGAGAAACTGTATTGAAATATTGTCTTTAAGTTTCAGTCAAGAGTTGTGTTTAACTTAGATGTTCATACTTAAAGTTAACCAAGGGAATACAGTTCAGATTTTGATAAATAGCAGTTAGTAGGTGTTCCAAAGCTGTAAAAGTTTCAAAATGATGTTTTCATTTTGGGAAAGAATGATGTTGAGGTGGGAAATACTATTTTAAACATTCTAGCATATTTGTGAAACCTGTCTTTAATAATACCTGAAATTGATAGCCGTGCTCAGTTACGTACTGCTGCAGTAAAAAATAAACTCAGACATTTAATATTATCCATACCAGAGAAGTTTGTGCACTGTGTTAAAGTAATCAGTATATATGATTTCATCTTGAAACTGCTTCTGTGAAGAATACTGTGTAGTCAGGGTTTCTTGAGTTGGTGGGATTTTTGTGTATCGAGTGTTTGTAAAAAAGATGTTTCTAACTGTTCCATGCAATGGTTCCACCATACACCATTAGTAAATGTTCTTAAGAATAAATGATTATAAAAAACATAGGAAAGAAGCATTCATTTTTAAGATAGCAAGTGTGGTTAGAACCCCTGACTCCTTCTGTGTGCAGCTTGCTAGTCATCATTCTGTCTCTGGGGAAGTGTTCTGAAATTATTGGGTAGGATGATAAATGCTGGTATTTTGTGTAAGAGCATACCGACTTCCAAGTGTCAAGTAGTCACTTGTACTTATGACACATCATGATCTAATTATAAATATATTTCTAAGTAGAATTCTGCCTTGTAGGAAACTGCATGTAGTGAATAATTGGAACATCTTAAACATTTTTGCCTTTTGGACTCAAAAAAAAATTGTTAATACATAACTGGATAAACAGCTTTTCTTTATGCAACAGGCAACTTAGAAACTGATGGCTTTAAAAACAGTAAATGGGAATAATAATTTGAGAATATTTCAGTATTTTTTCTTGAGATAAAATTGTGGGGAAAATCCTCTAAAATAGGGAATGAATAGAGTATGCTAAAATTTCTGCTCAACTTACAAGTAAAGGAAAAAAAAAGTCTACTCTTTCTTGTAGCATGAAGTATTCAGTGTACAATAATGTTTAGTCATCCCACAGAAGAACAATCTGAGTTTCTCATTCTGATTCTCCTGTGGCATGATTCAGGTCTGATGTCAGATGAATGACTCTAATTGCCATTAGTTTTTGTGTAGCACTTGGAGAGGCATGCTGAGCTTGTGAGCTTCTGAGCACACCACTTATTTTCTTTAGCTGGGCGGTGCTGTGAGTGGTCCCTTGGTGATGGCTTGCTCTGTTGTCAGCTGGTGGAAGTGGGAAGGCTCTATGTAGCAGCCTGGAGGCTTCTGGCTAGAACATGGTACCTATCTCTTCTTGCCAGTTTGGTACTTGTCCTTGGTTTGAGGCTGCTGCCACAGTGCCTTGGAGTGTAGCCTTGGATGTGGTAGCTGTAGAAATGAAACCGAGGCACTGGAAAAGACTCCTTGATTGGCCAAGTCTCTTGGACCATGAACTAGAAGACAGTAGGTGATGCGGTCCAGTGTGTTTTGTGCAGTTCAGAACCAATCCTGAATCGTGTACTTTAGGCCTTTAGCAAACTTTAGCAAGTTTGAGCTTTCCCTACAAACAGAGCAAAACCATGACTTATTTCTGGCTTGCCTTTCAGACAGTGGATAGATAGTAAGGCACAAATATCTACAAGCCAATGTTCTAGCAGTCAAGTCGTTTTATAGAAGTTGTGAGAGTGTTGTGAAGGAGAGTAGTTTCATATGGCTTTTGTGGGGGGAAGATCCTCTCAGATGTGAGAAGAAATAAAACTGTTAGAAAGCATGCCATGGGATGAGAGAAGAAATCTGGTGTCCGTGGTGGTTGGAACTGGAAGCAAAGTATTTAGCAGCAGAAGAAAGGCATTCATTTGAGAAAGTTTACATAGTAGTTTATGTTGTGATTTGCCAGTCTGGGGTAATTCCCATTTGGACAAAACTCTAAGGCCATGAGTCACCAGAAGAGAGGGAGGATCTTTCTCCTGAATGTAGCTGTGTGTGTTGGCTTTAGTATTGCAACTCCTTGAAGGTCATGTGATTAGCATAAAAGCCTACTATAAACTACATAAGTAAGCCTCTGAACTAAACTGGATTCTTGCCCCTTCTTGCTACTAGCTGATATAAAAAGCTCATTGTTTTTCTACAGTTTATCTGGGGTAGCTAAAGCAGGATATTACAACACAGTGTTTTGCTTGCTTAAACAGTGTTCTTAGCTTTGTATTTATCAGTACTTCTGATTCATTTTATTATTTTTTAATGTCTGAAACTGTAATGTCTCTTTCAGGTTTTTCTCATTAAAGAAAGGAATGTTATTGCACCCTATAAAACAATAAGAGTGAGTATATATTTTTTTGCTGTTCTTAGCAAGCTGAAGTTTTGCAAGGATTTACATTCTCATTTCTGAAAGAGTAAGATAATTATCATTTGAGGAATATGACAGTAAAGGTTGGGGAAAAAAAAGTAATTGTGCATATTGAAAAAACACATCTGAATTCTTCCATGATGGCTTTCTGATATTTCTTAAAGGACACACTGCAGACTTCATGCTTGCCATTTACCTCGATGTTTAGCTCTTTCGGCTCAACAGTCAGAGCTGTCAGTGGGCTGCTAATATTCAGTGGACACTGCATCCTGGATAAATGGCTTCTCCTCAGTTCTCCTCAGACCTCAGATGAGAGATTGATAATTGGTATTTTCCATCTGAGTGCTTCACATTTCAAAGAAATTGCAGATTAGGTGGCTCACATCAGAAATTGGAGGTTACTTCTAGTTGCTTTCTGCTGATGAGATCGGTTTGCTCTGATTCTGAGCCTGGAGGCTTCGAGGCATGGAGGTAAGGGTTTTTCACCTGAAGTGTGAGATGAGTTAGGATGCAGACACAAAAAAAAAAAAAAGCAGAGTCGTTAGACATATTGCCCAAGAATTGAAACAGACAGAATTATATTTCTCAATATATTTGTGCAAGTAAGAAATGTCAAGAATGATGGAGTCCATACATTTGCATTACTGTAGTGAACAACAAAGAGGCAAGAGATGATTTCTGTTCTCCCAGCAACTCCTTTGGGTTGGTTTTGTGATTAGATCTGCCTATAAACTGGGAGTTTAAATTTTTATTTCTTTGTTTGTTTTATTCTGTTAATTCCTCATGTGTTAAACCTGTTTTGTCTTCTGGTTCTTCCATTTTCTGTTTTGCATCCGTGTGCAAGATTTATTAAGTATCACAGAAATACCTTCTCCCATTGCCAACACAGTGAAAGAGAAAAGAATCAGAAGGACTGTTTAGAAGGCTTTTCACTTCATTTTCTCCTAAGTTATGATTCATCCATAGCTAAAACATTTCTGACAGTTAACCATTACAATTTACTTCACTAAAGTGCAGCTGTGTTTCTGCATTTTAAAACAAGTTCACCTTCAATCACTTCTGAATTTTTTTCTGTTGCTGCTAAATGTCTTCTACTTGAATCATTGCCAGTTCCATATGTTTCAGTGAGTGCTGGAATTGGGTAATACGTTTTATCTCCCTTGTCTTGCATCGATTATTTCAGATCAATTACAAAATACTGAGCTATTGTCTTTGCACACGGCTGAAGAGCTACAGAGACAACTGCTCACATAAGCTTTTACATTGTTGGCTGTAAGCAATCCTTATAGACCATCCACTAGGATTTCTGAGAGCTGTGTTTTCCCTGTTGAAGGAAAATGGTGCTCTGGGTGAAATGTTACAATGCTTTTATCTAACTTGCTTCTGAATTCCTTGTCTCCCTATAACCCAGTTCCATTTGCTTCCTGAAGCATGCTTTCCTCTTGGATTGGTGTCAGTTCAGCTCAGATCACATACATTACACCAAAGATTGTCTAGATTTCCATGTCTTTCTTCCTGCAGTTTTAAATTAATCCAACTATATCCACTGACCAATGTATTGCTGTACTCTTACTGATCACTTTAAAAAAAAGTCTAGCCTGAGAAAATACAAAAACTTACAGAAGTGTGTTGATATACTTTTATACTATGTTCAGGGGTCATTAAAGGCTCCCACAACCTTTGCTAAGTATGAGTTATGTGTAAATTTAGTATCAATTGGTCCGTGCTTATGCTATTGATATACTTAAATTAAAAGCAAAAAAATCAACTATAAAATGACACTTAAGAAAGCTGGGAGAACTTTTTAGGGGAAAAAGGAGTGTTTCACATATACTGACTGATGTGTTAGTGAGGCTTTTGTAAATGACTAGTCAAAATAAGCTGTGATGGAATTTGGGATCTTTTCCTCTCAAAGCTATTTATGTAGAGAAGAATGATTAACTTTTTTAGCTTAGATTTTAAAGATTTAATGGGCTGGTATCTTTTGTCTACAAGATATACAGAAGCTGTTTAAATGTAATATGTCACTTTCTAGTTCTATATTTACATGATTTTTACCTGATATTAAAGTAGGCAGAATATGTACATTTACTGGTGTTTACAATGTATTCATTTGTTCACTTCAAAGCTATTATGTTGCATTGTATCAAACAGCGGACAAAATACTGCACAAAGAGCTTACCACAGGGAAGATAAATTTCTAAAGAAAAAAGATCAGGTTATACATCTGCTTGTGGAATGTTTGAGGTATAGCACAATCTTTGATAGCATACTTTTACTACATTTTCTTTTATTATTTAGGGGATTTGTGGTTGTTTTTGCTTTGTTTGTTTGTGGGTTTTTTTGTTGTTGTTTTTATTTTAGTTTGCTTAATCTTTTTCCACTGAAATTTATTAACTCATTTCTGGTAAATGTACTTTTAATTTTAGGGCAAAACAGAACACTTATTCCAACTGGATGTTGCTGGGAAAGTAGGAGATGTTGTGCAAACTCTACATCAGGTTTGTGGTTATTTGGTATCACTACATACTTCATCACAGCAGCTTTTGATTTTTAATGTAGAGTTTTCTTTTTTTGTTCTCAAGAGGAAAATCTTGGAGCATCTATTTTTAAAATGTAGAGCTGAAAACAGCATCTAGTTCTGACAGCTGTCGTAAGCAACCCGTATTAACTTTTAGCATGCAGAGTGGTAGTATACAAAGTAATAACATGCCAGTAGCAATGAATGAACATTATCCTACTTTGAAAAGAAGTAATAATAGATCTTTTAGTATTCTGTCACAGAGAGTGCTAAAGCTCCTCCTGTTTCTGTTGTCTTCTGAGCTCTGTGGGAGATCTCCGTGCTATTTCACTTAAAGATTGTTGTTTAGCTTTACAGGGCTTCTTGTCTAGATAAGATGGGAGATCAAGCTGCCATGGTAAGTGTCTGATTATTTCTAATATCTCTGTTTAATAATGATATTATGATCACTGTTGAATAATAACTTTAATTGCTTTTGAATCATTGACCATATTTTCTTTCCTTCTACATTAGATAACTGCTATATTGCAATCACGCTTGGCTAGAACTTCATTTGATAAAAACAGGTACTTTTCTAATCACTTTCTACAGAGAAATCATTTTGAACTTCTTGGTTGATTAGTCTACTGCATTGATACTTAGGTGGTTGTTTAAGGTAGTGTGAGTTCTCTAATTCAGAGAGTTATCTTCTTTGAATTCTGAAGCATCTGTAATGGAGAGTAGGAAATTCTGTGTTGTGAAGATGAGTGGTTAATTTTTTATGTCTCTAAACTGTTTTGTTTATCTGTGAATTTATTGTAAATTGGGCATCATCATATGCCAAATAAAATTGTATAGAGAAGTCAACTGGCTTCCTGCAGCAGCATTCCTTTCTAGAGTGCCTGTTAAAGTAGAGGTCTCAACAAAGAACTTTCTTCCTGTGTGATATAGCCTTCCTGAAGTCCCCTTTCTGATATTCCAAGGCTATAAGCTAACCTAAAACCTTTCTAAGGAATTTAAAGGGTGCCTCTGCCAAAGTAAGAACTGGAGGTAAACTTACTCCTTTTCTTCACTTGTAGATTTCAAAGCATTTCTGAAACGCTGCATATGGAATGTAAAGCAGAAATGGTGACGCCACTGGTGACTAATCCAGGGCATGTGTGCGTTACTGATGCTAACTTGTACTTCCAGCCTCTTAATGGATATCCTGTAAGTGTCTCATAGATGATCTTGCATACAACGTGAGCACGCTGCCCTGCTAGTGGACAGATTTAATTTTCTGTACTATTTCTCTTAAATGCACATAGAGCACATCTCCAAGAAGACTATTTTCAGTTATAATCCGAAGCTCCGTAGTTTTCTTTGATCTGTGCTGCTCTGTTGCATTCGGTGTATCTCTTCTCCTGAGGCTTTATTCTGCGCTAACTTGCTTAAAACTTACCTACTAATGACAAAGCACAAAATGTCCTTTGTTCGTTCTCTATTAATATTTGAAGATCACTTTTTGTAACACTTTGTTTAAGATAAATTTCCAAATCTTACTGTGTGATGCTGTTCCTACCTAGTGAGAGCTTTATATACGTGTAGTTTACTTTGGAAGATGTTAGCTAGGTTTTCTTTTAAACTAGTCATTTCTTTCTCTAGAGGAAAACTGAGTACCTGCTGCAGATAGATTTCTACTTTGGAATTTCGTCACAGAAATAGCAGTGGTAGTTTTAGCAGGCTACTGGCTTAGCTATGATTCTGTGAAACACCTTCAGTACGGATGTGGCAGTAGCACAATTACCAGAAAATTTTTATTCTCAGGCTAATTTTTTCCCTAGTTTGCTTGTCAGCATGTGAGTTTGCATCAGCAGCCCTAGTGTTGCTCCATCTGGGTATGACTGGTCCCACAGGCTGGTAGAGCACAGTCTGGCCAGGGATAAAGGACCAAGTAAGACCCATCCTCTAATTCCAATGGTGGGCTGCTGGTACCCTCCACAGGGCTTGGGACCTGAGCCCACCTCTAGTGTTCTCATCTGCTGGGTACTCTGGAGGGAAGAAAGGAATCTGCCTAACTTGAGTGCCCTAAGGACAAGGAAAAGACAAGCAGAAGATTAAGAGGAGGAGTCTGGAGACCCAGGCACAGAGAAAAGAAAGGAAACACTCTGACTGCTCTGAAAGCAACATTGACCTAGAGAGATCATGTCTGTGACAAGAGGAAGGAAAGTCTGAGGCTAGTACTGAAAATGGAAAAGGGACTTAGAGAAGTATGTTTAACAAAGGAGGAGGAATTTGGGGAACAGGTTTTTTAGCAGGGCCTGTTGCAATAGAACAAGGAGTAATAGTTTTAAACTAAGAGACTAGATTCAGACTAAATAGAAAAGAAGTTTTTTACAATGAGGATGGTAAAACACTGGCACACGCGTTGCCCAGATGGATGCCCCATTCCTGGAAACATTAAGGTCAGGTGTGACTGGGCTCTGAGCAACCTGATCTAGTTAAAGATGTCCCTGAGCATTGCAGAGGGGTTGAACTAGATGTCCTTTAAAGGTCTGTTCCACCACAAACTCTTTTATGATTCTATGACATGCTAGAAGTGTGTCCAGGCAAGGAAAATGCCTCGCAGTGGAAGATGACAGGGCCATTTTTTTCCAGCCGCCAGGTGGCACCATTGGCACAGTTTTCCCAGCATCCCAATGGCTTCCTTACTTTTAATATCGTTTCTTGTGTGCTGCTTCTCTCTTGCATGAGCATTGTAACTGGTGACAGACTCGGGTGATAATACACTGTGGTTTATTTATTCTTAAACTGCTTTGCTGCTCAGGCAAAAAACAACAGCAAAGATAGGCTTCCTCTTTTTAATGTGACTGCTTAGCATCGCTATTCCACCGCTAAAATGACATGGATGGATATTGTTTTCATGTTGCTAGTATTTATAGTCAGCAAAAACTTCAGATTGTCTGGAGAGGGTAAGGTAGAAGAACATAAACCTGCTGGAATGTCTCCATCTTTTCTTTCCCCTCCCTCATCCCCCACAGAAACCGGTAGTACAAATAACACTGCAAAATGTGCGCCGCATCTATAAAAGAAGGCATGGGCTAATGCCACTGGTAAGATCAAATATTTATTTTATTTTCATGTCTTACTGTATCTATTGTTTCTTAAAATGACCTGCTGAAAATGTGTGCACTGTTAGGTAAAAGCCCTGCGTTTTTAAGAGCTCTGGACTAAGTAGTGAACAGCACTCAATGATCCCTTCTGGTTTTTAAGTGTTGTATTTCTTTATGTTGTCAAAAAGATGAAAACAGAAAGAGTGAACTCTGACAAGGATGAAAAATTTCTTTCATAAGCAGTCAGTATAGAGAAAAGGGAGAAGGGAGTATGACCAGGGAGCAATTCATTCCATTTATCTCAAACACCTATCTTGGGTTAGAATTAATTTCTCTCTCATGGTGTATTTTCTCTCTGGATTGATTCACTGAGGGATTTTGGTCACTGCTTCATATAGAGGCTAATGTGGAGTGATGAGTCCCACTGTACATGACTGAGAGACGGTGAGAGTGCTGCAGTGGAACCTCAGTTGTATGCTTTCAGTGTTTGCACTGAAATTTTAGTCTTCTAGAAAATGTTTTGTTTGGAAACACATTTAAATCAAATAGACATTTAATTCTTTTGCATCACTTCATTCGGTTAGGCAAAAAAGTATATTGCCTATGCTCAATTAATCTAGGTAGAGCCAATCTATGGACAGCTGTAAAGCTATTTGCTCAGCTGAGTGTAAACTGAACACTTTTATGATTAAAAATAAAAAAGTTAAAATATTTTACTTTGTGGGAAAAACTGCTCCCCAGTATAGATTCTGAAGATTTAGATATTAATAACTGGAATATTCTGTTAAAAAAACGTGAGTCTTACAGCTTGTCAGTACTTGCTCTCATTTATGTTTTTCCCCCTGTTAACTTTTAAGGGCCTCGAAGTATTTTGCACAGAAAACGATCTCTGTTCTGACATCTACTTGAAATTCTACAACTATCAAGATCGAGATGAGGTCTATTTCCTTATTGCAACATATATAGGTTTGCAGTATTTATTTATTCCTGTCATGTGTAGTACCTTGTGAATGGAAATTTGGCTGGGTTTTGGTCTGTTGATTTGTGGGAAGAATAAGAAGAATAAACAGAAGCTGTAAAAAATTGTAATAGAAGTAAACAAAGATCAGAATGAAGGTTGTGAAATTGCATCTATTCATATGTGTTTGAAGAGCTGAGTATGAAATCTGATATGGCATTAACTAATTCTTTTAATTTGCAACTTGATATGCACTATCGTTTAACACACACCCACCAAAAAAATCCAAACAAACAAATGAAACTAAAATACCCTCAAAACACTCTCTTCAAAGCAGGAGGAAAATAAGATCCACTCAGCTAAACAGTGTTTTGCTGAAAGAATATACACTGACTTGTGTATAGATCGCCCTGGCACTCAGTTTAGTCCAAGTAAAAATTCTATTGAGAAACTTCCTGCAATTGGTGAATTTCCAGTCCACACATTTTGAACTTTTCTGTTTTAATGGTAGTTGATGAAAATTACCATCCTGAAATAGTTAAATTCTTATTTCTGTTAAATCTTGTATTCATTAATTCTTAGAGAGTGATGCATGTCTTTTGCAGATGGTGAACAGAAACTTTCTAAAAAACACGTGTCCTGAAAAAAAAAGGAGAAAAAAAGCTAATAGTTTTCCTGTAATGCTACTTCAACTGAAACTCATATTTACTGCCAATATTGAAAATGTTTATATAAACTTTGTGCTATTTTGTTTTTGTACCAGAGCTCTAGTTCTGTTTTAATGAATTTGCCTAAATATCAGTTGACATTTTCCCCACTTCATAAAGCAAGGTGGAAAGGTCACAAAGGGATTACTTTCACTGAGAATTATTTTAGCGTTTAAAGTTTTTCTTTGGAAAGGAAATAGATTCTGACATTATTTTCTGTTATTGAAATAACTGCATGCTGTTACTCTGCTTCAGACTTTATTTTCTGGAAAACTTTCAAAAGTGAAATTTCAAGGTGCTGATGAAGATGATGATGATGACGTTGTTAGAGCTTAGAAATAAAAAAAGCCTTTTACCTAGGGGTGTTTGTAGCACCTCAGTATCTTTCTCTGACAGCAGAAGATCCTCTCTTTGAAGATGCTAACACTTTTTACTTGTAGAATTTAAAGTACTAAGGTGTATAGAGGGTTGGAATATGTGTTTCCAGCCTATGTTAAGCTAAAATAGAGGCCTGATGTGATCTAATCCAAATTCTTTTCTTGCCATTGTACCATGGTTGCAGTGCTTCATTTCAGGCATTTACCAAGGTACTGTTAACTGAATCAAAGGAAGGAACAATTTTAAAACAAATAAATAACCTAGTTGTCCAGCAGCATACCTTGATATTACAGCTATTAAGCAGAGAATAATGCAGCTTGAATTTCTTGAGCCTCTGCCTATAATTCAAACAGAAGCTCCAGCTGCATAATTCCTACTTTCGTAAGTGGGGGTCAAGTTTTCTTTTCCTCTAGTCTGCATTTCACTGGTTCTGAAATTGAATCTTGTTCATGTACATATATGACTTCTTTCCACACATCATTGTTAGTGGGTGTCCTTAGTTGATCAGTAAGAAAATATATTTAATTTTTTCTTCACTCTAGCAGAACTGATTGTAGAAATTTGAAATCTTAAAGGTTGCCAGATTGCCAAGAGCCTTGTTCATGGTCTGGAAACATTTTTCTGTAACTTCATAAATGTTCATCCATTCTTTTTGTTTAGTTTCAGCACTCCTTTATTTTTTTTCTTGGTTGAATGCAGTTTAGGTGCATTTGAAAAGATGTTAAAGTGAGAAATATGGTACCTATTGAAACATGAAGTTACCAATTGATTCTGACTTGTTCTATTAAACAACTGTGCCCTTAATTATTTTATAGGATCTTGCATAATGTTAATCACAGTATAATTTGGGGGTGGAACTCCAAACCTCACAACTCTTAATGTTTTGTTTTATTTTAGAGAATCATATTGCAGAGCATACAGCTGAAAGTTATATGTTGCAATGGCAGCGAGGACATATATCAAATTACCAGTACCTTCTTCATCTCAACAATCTGGCTGATAGAAGCTGCAACGATCTCTCCCAGTATCCTGTATTTCCTTGGATCATAGCAGACTACTCTAGTGCAGTACTAGGTATGTGTGTGAAAAAGTCATGTTACTGCCTTGTGCCCAGCCTGAAATGTGTGTGTGTGTGGGGGGCTTTTACACTGCATGAAGTTCATGTTACATCAAAATGAAGCCAGCATGGGTGATCTTGGATGTTTTCTTGTGGACTTAACCTTCCCCTCTGGTTTAGGGAGACAAAATACCTCACCTTTTTCTGTTAAATATTGCACTCCTCACATACAGACTACTTACTAAACATCTCCTTGGTTGCTTTGCAAATCAGCAGTACTGAGCATTCAGAGCCTTTCTGTGATTCTAAAAAAATGGAAAAGAACCAGTAAAATTACTTTTTATGGAACAACTTTGATGCACTGAAATGTGTAGAGAACCCAGGTATTCTTTTATAATTCTTAACACTACAAGCTGAATGGAAGAGTCTGACAAGGCTTGTGTCTAAATAGGCTCCTTTATTAAGGATTCTTAGTGCAGTTTGTGTGGGAAGTTGGTCCTTTTGAGGATTGTGTCCTTCTACAAGAAATAGAATAGGGGTATCTCATGGTATTTATCAGCATCTGCCCAAACACTTCAGTGGTGGGACTTGACTGCAGGACAGAATAGTTAATGAGTAGGAAGAAGCTGATACCAGCTGCTTTTGTGCCTCAGGTAGCAAGACCTTGCCTAGGTAATATTAATTGTAGTAAGTGTCTCATACATTAACTACTAGTTCTTAAGCAAGAAATTATGAGATTGTCTACTTGGAAGGAAGAAAATGAGTAGCCATTTACAATAAGACTTAATGATTTTGCAGTTAGTAGGGAGAGAGAAATTACTAAAAGGCTTCTATCTTCTTTTGGGTTTTTTTTTTTTTTTGTTGCTATTTGGGTGGGTTTTTTTCTTTTGTTTTTAAATATTGATTAGAGTACATGAATGTCTACTTAGTTTATAAAATTTTTTATTTTTAGATCTGACAAAGCCCGAAACATTTCGCGACCTTAGTAAACCGGTTGGTGCCCTGAATAAGGAAAGGCTGGATAGGCTCCTGGTATGTATATCTTGGCATTTATGTGCTGCACATTCTTGGCCTTGTACCTATTGACAATAAAAGAAGCTTTGTCCAGCAAGGTTTGGGAAATACGTAGATATCTAAAGCTAACTATAAACCTAATCAGAAGCAAACATTCTTATAATGATACTGCATTTATTTTCGGCTTAATTTCATTAGTATTGGTTTTTTCGGTACTAATGTAAAATTATTAGAATCCATTTCCTCTCTCGTACTACTATTTCATATGTTATGCTTTTGAATGTTTTCCCTTGCTTTTAAAATAATATCCCCACATTCATTTAAGTATGTGTATGGTAAGCACTGAGATACCATAAGCATATATATGAAACTTCAAGACCAATGGATTTAAATGCATCATGTAAAATACATTTAAAAAAAAAAAAAGAAAAACCATGAAAAAGTGGTAGAAATCTTAAGGTCATTTCCATTAAGAAAAATGCTGAATTTGAGGGAGTACTTCAAAGGGTGGAAATCTGCCATGGAGATCAGAGCACCAACTTGAAAATTCCTTATGCAGATAATAGTGCACCAGGTTTTTCCATTTCTCAAAGTAGGTAGGCTTTCTTTTCATAAACTGTCAAATGCAGACAGACTTAGAAGGTCCTCAGTTTCTTGGGTCTTATTTCACTATATAAAATCATTGTCTCCTATGGAAAGGTTATTATGCCAAAATAATTTACAGAACATTAACTACATTTAATGTGCTGGAACCTTTATTAGTTCTTAATAAAGCATTAGAAAAAAATATTGACAGAATAACTGCATTATATTGATAAAAAGATGTTTCAAAATCATACAGCTTCGTAAGGTTGTGGAAGGTAAGAACATGATCAATATTATGCTTCCAGTAATAGTAGATTAAGTTTAATTTCTAAAATCTGACTTTTCTCAAGCTGTTATCTGCCTCATACTTACTGCAGTAAAAGTCATTCTGTTTAGATTATGATAGGTTTTAGGGTAACACATAGGAGCTTCAGACAAGAAGGAATCTTCCAGGTTGAATGGAGTCAGTATGTTCTTCCATACTCTCACTAAACTTGATGTGAAAGACAAAAAGGAAGTCTATTTGCACACCTTGGAAATTGAGTCATTGCAGTTACATGTGAAAGTGAGAGAGGAGAAAATCCTGAATATCTGATAGTTCTGGATGATCAGTTTTAACAACTGTGTTACTGTATCGATTTGCTCTGATTAAAACTGCATGATTATTAGAACTTAAGGGTTTGTTTTATCTATCGTTAGAAAAATAATTGAGGGTCCTAATCTGTGCCTTTAAAAAAAAATGTATGTGTGTTTAGTATTGAGGGAAAGCAGGAATGCTGATTTTAAACAGACATTTCTTTCTTCTTATGTTGCAGACACGTTATCAGGAAATGCCAGAGCCTAAGTTCATGTATGGAAGCCATTATTCATCTCCGGGTTATGTTTTATTTTATCTTGTTAGAGTTGGTAAGACAGCTTTTACATGCTCTCTGAGCACACAGTTACCTCCAAAGCATACAAGGCTTGGAGCTGATGGTTTTGTTTTTTCTCCTTAGCTCCAGAATACATGCTCTGCCTGCAGAATGGAAAGTTTGATCACGCTGACAGAATGTTCAATAGGTTCGTTTACATTTTGTCTGTAGCTAGTCTGGTTTTGTTTTCAAATATGCACCAATGGGGAGTGAAAAGCCTTAAAAATAATTTCTTACTTTTTGTATTATCTAGTATTGCAGAAACCTGGAAAAACTGTTTGGATGGTGCAACAGATTTCAAAGAGGTAAATGGCTGGAAAATTATTCAAGTGTTTCTTGTTATCTGTGCTATGCTTTCTTATCTCCTGTTGATCTGAGAGTTTTTTTGGGGTGTGTTTGGTGGTTTTTTATTTTGTTGTTTGTGGTTTTCAGTTGTGTGGGTTTGTTTCCTTTTTTTTTTTTTGGTTTTTTTTTGAGGGGTTTTATTTTAAAGCTGACGATTACATTTTATGAATGCTTTATTAACTGTTTTAATCCTGTATCAATTCTGTAATTCCATGATTGATTGCCTGTGTCTGCTTTCTGGCTTTTAATTTAGCAGAAATATCACTGTGAATGTTACTGGAAATAAATGGGAATTACCAGAGTGGTTTAAGACTGCAAAGATATAATTTTATGTGTTGTCTCCTGGAATCTTGTAAAGTCTTGGCTGTATTGCAACACTGCATCTAGAAAAGTTAAACTCTAGAAGTAGTATCTTAGCATTTTTGAGCCTTTAGAAACTATAACTTGTATAATATGTTGAGAGTAATGAACTGTCAGATTGTGAGCACAGTTAAACTCCTTTCTCAAAGAAACATTATTTAATACAGTGATTAAAAAAGTCTATAGTTAATGGTTAGCTATGATGGTATTTAAATAATTAACCTCTGCAACTTCTGTCCTAATTCTAGTTTTATTCTAGATTTTTGTCTTTATTCTTACTTGATGTACTGAAAATGAAAAGATAGCTATGCAATAAGAGTTCTGAAGATACTCGTAGATATTATGGTTTTATGTCACACATTACATGTTAAAATATGTATACCACTGTGAATTTAGCAATTTAGCTCACAGAACTGCCTTGTAGGTAAAACTTGAAAAATTAATGCTCAACTTTAGGATTTGACATACGAACTTTGAACTTTGGTAACTTTCTTTATACTAAGTGTATTCTATTTAAGTGATTGGAACTAAGGTAATCTCAAACCTTGCTTCGTTTGTTTGTTTAACTTCCAGTTGATTCCAGAATTTTATGAAAATGATCCTAGTTTTCTAGTAAACAGTTTGAAGTTGGACTTAGGAAAAAGGCAGGGTGGAAAGATAGTTGAAGATGTAGAGCTTCCACCTTGGGCATCAGGTAATAATAGTCAAACTTCTTGTATCATGTACCTTAATTCAGGATTATCTGGGTTCCTGGAATGGTGGTTCTTCCTTAAAAATGTGCATTATGGTTTCTTCTAAAGTAATTCTTTCTTTAAAACATTGACATGATTAATAGTTGCTTTTAATTTTTATAAAAAGTTTGAGGTTTTGTGGGGGGGTGTTTGATTGGCTTTTGAAGAAGGAGGAGGAATAGAGATGGATACCAGTACTGAGTGGGTTATCTTCTCCTTTAATTAACCCTTCTTTTGCCAGGTCCTGATGACTTTCTTCAGAAGAGCCAAGAGGCTTTAGAAAGTCAGTATGTATCAGAACATCTTCATGAATGGATTGACATAATATTTGGCTACAAGCAGAAAGGAAGTGAAGCAGTTGCAGCTCACAATGGTAAATAAGCACTTTATGGAAACAGCAAAAAAAAGGGATGCTTCAATTAGGCAGGAATGGTAAATAACAACATATCCTAATGCTTGTTTTGTTTTGAGCTTTCATAACAAAGTGCTTTGAATGCTTGATGCCTAAAGGAAATGCAGTTGTTCAGTACTGGAAATAATGACTTATCTGGTAACATTGCCTTCATGGTGATTTGTATCTTTAAGGATGTACTTAAGGTGGTAGGCAAGAAAATTCTGTAGCATTGCTGTAAATTGCTCACACAGCATGGTGTGGCACTATAGGATGGAGTTAGTGTTTCCCTATTAAAAATGGGAGTCTGCAGGGTCTCCACGTAAACTTGTCTTTTAACTTTCCCCCACTTCAATTGCAGTATAAGAATCTCAATGCAATATTTCCCGTCCTCCTGAGAGAACTAGCAAGGGAAAGAATGGGCTAATGGGCTACAGCTCTTTGGAGCACGAAAGAAGGATTTGTGTGTTTGTCCTTGTCTACCTATATACTACTCTGCTTGTGGGAAGTTTCACTGTTTGCAATCTTATTCTGAACATGTGTCATGAACATGTGTAAGCACTGTGGGTGCTTACAAACGAGCTGTGTTGAAGTATTTATCTAAACCTAATAGTAATATCAATTATTAACTTATTCAGCAGCCTCATATTTTGCTGTGTATGTTACCAGACAATAAGGAAATGTCTTCTTTGTAATGGAAGACTAGCAGATCAGATTTTTAGGGTGTTTATTCCAGAAGCTCTGATCCTTTTGAAGGATTATAAGTAACAGACAATGTTGAGATAGTTTGCACTTAACAAGACAGGAAAAGTTTAGGAAGAAAACCTTACTACAGTAGTGGAGAGGGAAGGAATAAGCAACTCCTCATTTGGTAGTCAGTATTTGCTTCCAGGGTAGGATAGTGTAGCTTGGTTTGTGATGGGGTGTGTTTGGGGGGTAGTTTTGGTTTGGGGTGGGTTTTTTTAGTTGTTGTTGTTGATTTATTTTTAATGTACTTTCCCACATGTCCTTAAAGCATGACTTGGCTTTATTTTAGAATTTCAGGGTTTGGCAGCCAGTCATGCTGTGACTGTAAGCGTCAATCACAATGTATCAGAGGCCTTAAATACGGTAAATCAGCATATCAGTTATGGCACCTCTATTTTTATCTCTCAAATGAGAGTATTTTTATGCCTAATATGCCGCTTCTGCTGCGGTATGGATTTTATTAGCATAATGAATTGCAGACACTTGAGTAGATAAGAGACAGAAGGGGTCTGTGGATAATATATATGTATAAATGAACTTATGTCAAAGTAAATGTTCTTATGCAGAGGCCCCAAAGTAGTTCACATCATGGCAAATGAAAAGGTGAATACACAGACTGTTCTGATCATTCTTTATTACTTTTTCTTACTTGTCTAAAAACTAACCAGAGATCCAGTTATGCAACTGTTATTTATTTCTGCATTAACTGGGGGAAGGTATTTAATGAAGCTTAAATGAGTCATCCTTCCTTTATGGAAGGACTGATTTCTTTTGAAACTTTCCAAGAGTCTCCTAGAAATCCTAAACTTCTTTCAGGTTATAAAAACAGGATTAAAATGTAAGAAAGACCTCAAAGTCTATAGCCTTCTGAAATAGCTTAGTTACTTGAATATAGCCAAGATGAGTAAAAAAGAAAGCTTTGTTTTATAGCAAGACCAATAGAATGAGCCTTGTATACCTACATTGTACAAATAAACTTTTTTTTCCAGTGTTTCACCCATTAACTTATGAAGGAGGAGTGGATTTAAACAGGTAATTATCAAGAATCTGAATGTTTTTGTTAAAGCAGTTAGCTGAGTTTCTCAGTATCTCTGCAAGTTCTCTGCCAGCTGTAAAAGGGCTCTGTACATGAACAGTGTAGTTCTTCTGTTTCGTGCTCCCAAATATGCAGAGAACCAGCATCATGTTCTCAGTTTTGGCATGCCTTGGAAGATTGTTACTTGAACATTACTTCAGTCCAGCTTTTGTGAAATTGCTTCATTTTTTCAATTGATGAGCATATTGTCATTGTACATAAACAAAATGATGCAGCTATCATATGACTGTCTGTCAAATCTGTGATAGATCAGTTCTGTTAGAATTTGTGATGGCCTATAGTGCTGTAGTAAGTGCACATGCAGGCCCATGCTTTCAGGGAAGGGGAGGGGAAAAAAAATACTCCCTTTCTTGCCTTAATTATATATCTTCTTTTATAAAGTATTATGGACCCCAATGAAAAAGTAGCTCTCCTGACACAAATCTTGGAGTTTGGACAGACGCCAAAGCAGTTGTTTACAACCCCTCATCCTCAAAGGATAATACCGAGGTTGAAAAGCTTGTCTCGAACATCGAGTCACAGTGTTTCCTTAGCTGAGTCTCCAGGTAAATGTTTAACAGATAAACTGATGATGTAAAGGATTTGTAACTTTGAGTAGTTCTTGTCTTTCTCCCCCAGGATCTCATTATACAACTCTCTTGGTTCCATTCCCTGTAAGCCAACTCAAAATAAGTCCGTGAACTAAATGGTAAAGAAAAACAGACGAGACCAGTTTCAAATTTGAAAAGGTGTTGTCCTGCTTTCTCCTGCATTTTGCCTTCTGTTCCAGTGGTCTCCTATGGGACTGTTCAGCCTCTGCTTCTGAAGCTGTGGGAGGGCTATAATCCCTGGTCTTTCACAACATTTCAAATTCAAGCTGATACGACAACAGTTTCAGTGACAGTGTCTGCAGGCATTCTAGATGGTGGAAAGATTTGTTCAGGTTTTTAACAGGGATGTTCTTTGGGGTGATCATTTGGCTTGATCAAAGTAAACCCCAATAACTTAAATTAAGTATCTGAATTTTTCCCTTTTCCATGACCTGAATGAAAATATGTAAGGCAGGTACTCTTTTTTTTTCACCCCTAAATACTGTAGGGACAAAGCTGATTAAATAACTTTAAGAAAAGGATATGTAATGCCTTCACAGACTTCTGTTCAAGGCAGAATTTACACCACTTCTCTGAAACTAAGATGCTATTGTCATCATATGTACAGAGATCTAACTATAAATTGGACTGAATCTTCAGCCCAGGTATCACTTGGAGAGGTTTTTGTCATTTGGTTGTCTTCATTTCACCTACCATTTGGTTGTCTTCATTTTTAAGCAGAGGAGTGAAGATGAGTGCTACTTAGTGTGGCAACCTGTAGCATCCAGATGGCAAGAGTGGCTTTGAAAGTTATGTGTGGTGATAATGGTCATATGTGTTAAATACATGTGGTGGTATGCTGCCTAAGTCATTAATTCACAGGTGAACAGTTCCTCCTGGGTTGAACCTTTTTATAGTAATTGACACCTAATTATCTCAATCTTGTTGGATTTTTCCACTCCTTAACTTTTGTAACAGTGCAGTGAAATGAAGTTGTGACATTCATAACAGAGGGCAATAGAAAAACAAAAGCATATGCTTTGTTGTAGCCATAAATTGCTTTTCTAGTATTTTTCCTTTTGGAAAGCTCTTGGCATTTCAAAGGATACCAAAACATCTTAGCATAGTTTTTGTTTTTTCTATTTTGTTTGTTTTCCATTTTGGAATTATGTTCTGTAAAGTCTGCAGTTTAAAAGCCCTGGTTTGGAGAGAAAAATCCTATTTTTGACTGAGTAAGCCTATGCAAATTAAGGAAGAGATTTGGAAAAAGTTACTCATCTTGTCACTCTCTCCATTAGCCTAAAGGTCTTATTCCTGGAGCTCTGCATTATTTCATTACTTTCATATTTATGTCTGCAACTTCAGCTACTTATGTATTTGAAATCTGTCTTTATTTTCTGTTTGTGATGAAACTTTGTTGTTGCATTTTATTGCAGTTTCTCCAAATGAAGAATCATTTGAAGATTTGACAGAAGAAAGTATAACACTTGCCTGGAACAATATTGCCAAATTAAAATTAGATAAGCAATATAAAATTCACAAAGAGTAGGTACTATTCTTTTCAGTCAAAATTCTTCCATTTAATTGGGGTGAGGGATCTGTGTGTTAGTTTGAATGATGGGTTAAGGTTTCAGGTAAATACTTTTCTTTGTGAGATGGCTGATTGATTTGATTACACAAGATGAGTTTGAGTATATGGTGGATTATCAATCCAGAAAAGGTATTTGTCAGCTTGATTTTTGTTGTTGTTGTTGTTGCTCCTTATGCAGAGCTAGAGCTAAGTTCATTATCATTTTAGTACCTGAAGCAGATACTGATTTCTCTTCTCTAAAACTGATAGCAGCAGTCAGATAAAGACTTCAATTTATTTTTTTTATAACCCCAGGAGGACCTAACTTCTTCATCCCATCTGATTTGAAAGGTTAAACACTTAACTTCAGCTACTGTACACCTCAAGCTGCTGCTGTGTGAGCAGTTTGCCAAGTCTCCAGCTATAGGTTTTCAGTTAATCCAGGTACCAAACTACTGTTCTGATGGATTCTTAGGGAGTCAAGAGTCAGCAGGGCCACTTCAGGTGGACTTTGAAATATAACTGACATTGTTCATTATTAGGTATTATCAAAGAACAGATTTTTCTTTGGCCCCATCCCTTGTCCTAGTGACCAGACTACTAGGAGGATTTCTTGCTACCTTGATTCCAGCTACTTTCTTGGTGATTGCAACCCAATCTAGGAAAATATTATAACACTCATAAAACAAGGTAATATCTGTAGTTGAAAAAGGGCTTCTGCTGCCAGATTGTTAGCACACTTTCTGATAGCCCACTATGGGGGTCCTATACTAGTGTTTCACTTATTGTATCAAGGTATATTTTTGTCTCTAGGAGAGATAACACACCACTGCAGTGCCTTTAATCTCCTTGAATGTCTTAGTTCTTACAGAGATCAAATAACAAATTTCAACAGTAGTCTGTTTATAGTATGGTAGTTAAGTTTTAAAACCTATGAAGTCACCTACAAGCTTATTTGTATTAAACAGGGCAATTACTGGAATAGCAGTCCCTTGCAATGGGTCTTCTGTTTTCACTACATCCCAAGGTAAGTATTATTGCAGAGGTATTTACCAAATGCAGGTTTGTTATTGAACAAAATGGCATGAAATTTAAATACATATTTCCTGTATTTAAGTAGCTCAAGTATATGAATTTGTTAACTTTCATATGACTTTGACTCAAGGATTTCAATATTATCTAGACTTGGGAAGATAATGTTGGTAATAGCAGATAATAATAGAATTTCTCCATTTAGACACCAGAGTTCTCCTAGATTTTAATGGACATGTAACTGATTCAAAACAGGGTAGGCCCAGGCCCACATCACAAGCTTCAAAGGAGTTTCTCAGACTATGAGAAACCTGTATTTGCTTTTCATAGTAAGGTATTTGAATATTCAAGCAAGAGCAAAATTACTATCCTTTATAATAGTCATTTTATCTTCTATTCTATCCATTCTCCCCAGATTCAACTTTGAAGATGTTTTCCAAAGAATCAAAAACTATCCAGAGAAGTGTGTCCTTTTCAAACATGGTAAGTTGCTGTCAAAATAAAAACAAGATCACTGGGAATCTTCTGAAAGATGCTCAGAGAGATGGCTCTTAGCATACATCAATGCCTCTTTTCTTTCCTCTGCCTACTCAATTGTGCTGTGTGTGAATAATTTAGCAGAGTGAATTGAAACTCTGTCAGGCCACCAGAGAGACAGAGCACGTTCTGCAAACAAGGGGATGCACTTTACTTCTGCACTAGCTCTGTTCTGAGCTGGCCTGCTGTCCAGGGGAAGGGCTTGTGGTAGACAAAGCTGGTCTGGTGTGAGCAGAGACGAGTCTTCCTGAGCAACACTGAACTGCCACTGGGACCAGAATCACAAAGCTTGGATTCCTCCCATCCCATGCTCACATCCAGCATTGCCTCACTGCACTCAAGTGTTTGAAGGCTGTCAGTCAGCTGGGAGAGGAAAACCAAGCACAGGGAGTGGAATCTGTGCTGGGTGAATTTGAGCCATGGTTCCCTGATGAGCAGTGATCTCAGCAACCTCTGAACAACATTTTCCCCCTGCTCCTAAAACAGAGCTTGGAAAGACATTCTGAATTTGATTTTTTTTTTTGCTCTAACTGGTCACCAAGTAAGGTGCAGGATCAAGACCCTATGGCCTGCCCTGGGACATAGTAGCAAGTGAATCTAGATACAGCAATTCCTAATGCTTTTGCAAAGGGAGATTTAGGAACGTTATTTCTTGGCAGTGTAAGAAGGGAGCTCTGACTCCTAAGCCAAAAGTCTGTTTTTCATGAGGAGGCCTTGTATTTTTTTATTCTTGTACTCTTTTTTTCTTCTCTCTGTAGTTTTAGTGCTGATCTGTTGCAGCAATACTAGAAGCAACAGTCTTTACAGTCCAGCAGCTTACTGTTTTTCAAACAGATCTAAAATATGACTAGTAGAAGAACTGGTCTGATTGGTGGTTTGTTTTTGTTGTTTTTTTTCCTTGTTGTTTCCAGTGATGGTAATGTAACTGAGCAGGTGTCTGTAAATAATGTTTCTTTTTGAGAATATTAGGAATTAGGTAGTTACGTTTATTCGCTGAAAGAGCTGGGCTGATAAGTAGCTGTGAAGGACAGCAAACGTCAAAAGAAACCTTCATTTTTAGTTTCTGTTAGTTGCTTGCATACAGAATTGATAGCAGCTTACAAGATGAAGAGCTGACTCAGTTTTTCCTGTATGAGGAATTGCATACCATGTCCTTGAAATACCAGCATGTGAAAAGAAGATCCATCAGTTCAGCATGTATTTCTGAACTTCAGTGCTACATTTATTTAGCAGAAATTAAATATTCTTGCTGTTCAGTGTCCAGAGTCCAAGGGTTTTTTTGATTAGTGTTCATATAACACCTGCATGTTATGTTTATAAAGATTAAAACACTTCTTGTTCTCTAAAGGCGTGTTTGTGCACTGCTATTGGATGTGGGGTAAGAAACTGAGCATACTTCTTTCTTTTTCTTGCAGGCATTGTCATCTTGTCTAATCTTACCAGGAGATACCACTGTCATAAGTTCTTCATGGGACAATCATATGTGTGTATTTACTTCCTATTGACTTGATTGAATTGCATGGGGTGCCTTCATAGTTATGTTTGTGGATTTAGATAATGATACAGAAATTCATTGTTAAAATACAGTGTCTATTTTCTATTTTTTTCCATTAGCTGTCTGTTAGAAACTACAGAAACAAAGTTACTTTACTTAGAAAAAAAAAAGTTTTATGAAGGTGGAATGGTTTTATAACCTTTTTCTGTTAGATATTTTTATTCAGTTGCATTTGGAAGACAGCAAGACATCCTAATGGGACATGATGATGCAGTCAGTAAGATCTGTTGGCGTGATGGGCGTCTATATTCTGCATCCTGGGATTCCACTGTGAAGGTTTGTAGATGGGTTTGTTACACTTCCTTATTTATTTATAGCTACCACTTTATAAAATTCAGCTGGCCAAATGCTTTGGGGTGGATATACCTGCTGTACTAGAGTAATAACTTAGCTAGTATCAGAGTAAGTTTATTTCTAGAATATAGTCTTCATTTAGCTTTATCTCAGCTGTTTCAAAGATAAAGTATTGCTTTTCAAGAAAATCCATTCATTCTAACTTACTCTAAACAGGCAGTTTTGGAGGCAAATTGTGTATTTGCTGGAGGAACTGGAATGTTTTCTGACTTTGACTGGTGGTTCTTTTTCCTGAGTTGAGTAGGCTTCTAAAATGTTTAATAGTTTTGTAGTTAATGTTCTTTGGCTAAGGGGACCAGAAACTTGCTAATTCTAAAGAGCATGCCTACGGTTAGGTGGAAAGATAATTTGGAATTAGAGACAGAAAAGAATTTTCCAAATTTTCCTTGTGTGTGGCTTTTTGGTAAGTACACATTCAGTGCAGTGATACACCCATGCACTGGTGGGCTCCTGTAGGATATCTGGGATCAGCATAGTCATGTTTAGTATGTGTCTCTGCTCAGGGTAAATGAGTTCAGGTGCCATTTGTTGCTGTATTCTGCCATGTAGGCAAGGCCCACAGTGAGCACAATCAGTCCTCCTTGTATCCTGAGAGTTCAGAAGAGACTCCTCAGGGGTTATTCTAACACTTCCTTGAGCAAACCTAACTATCTGTGTTGTAGGTGTGGCACTGTGTTCCTGGAGAGACCTTGAGCAATAAAAAGCACCACTTTGAACTGCTTGCGGAGTTAGAGCATGATGTTAGTGTAAGTATGTTGATATTCTATCTTAGAATAAGAAAATTAATTGCTCGGTTAGAATCAAAATCATGTGGTAAAGCACAAGGATTGGGTTAGGGGGCTATGCAGTTATGTTTTGGGAAATATGTATAGGGACTTCTTGTTTAATTTTGGGGTTTTCTCTGTCTGATGTGTCCTATACTAGTGTCCTCTGCTTCCTGAGTTGAAAGGTTTTCTTTGGGGGACTGAAGCAACAGAGGTTGAAATTTTTCTGTATAAACAGAGGTTTCTTAACTTGCCTTCCTCAGCTTGTATTTCCCTATGAGGGCAGGGAAGGTCTGGGGTGGGTTTTTTTGTTTGCTTCTTTGGTTTTGGAAGCAGACTAATCTTTTTCAGATATTTTGATTGCTACATGTAAGGCAAGCAAACGAAAAAATTCCTCTGAGTTGTTCACCATACTATAAAGTATCTTAGTGAATTTCACTATAAATATATAAACACATTGTGTGCAGTGAATCACCAATGTGTAACTGCACACTTTGTTTATAGCCTCTAACATCAATCTACTAAGATATTTAGAATTACTGTATTCTAAACCTTCTTAACAGTTTTTTAACATGTCACAATGTAAGCAAATACTGAAACAGTTCTGGTAACATTTAAGAACTGTACTGAAGAGAACTGATGGGTAGGAAGTTTTTTAAAAGTAAAGAATTTTACCCTTAATGGTAAAGTCTTACATTTAAATAGAGAATATGGGAACTAAAAATAATCTGAAATGTCACCTAGCATTTCTGATTCTGCAAACCACAAGCATTTTAAGATATCATCAAAACAACCTATTTTTTACTTTTTATGGTCTGGATTTTTCATAATTGTACCTAATTAAGAATGTTGCAGAATTAAACTAAAAGTTTTTTGTAAATATCATCTAAGGGATGATGGGCTTGGTTCTGTGTATGTTTAAAAACTGTCTCAAGATGGCTCACATGAAAGAATAGGAAAATCTTGGAATGTTTAACTTTCTAGGTAAATACAATCGACCTTAATGCTGCAAATACCATGCTGGCATCTGGAACCAAAGACGGTACCATTAGTGTTTGGGATGTTACTACAGCAACAGTGTTACACCAGTTGCCATGTCATTCTGGGACGGTATTTGATGCTGCTTTTAGTCCTGGTACGTTGGATTTCAGCTTTTAATACGCACCTTTGGGAATTTCGAAGGGAATCTTATTCCTGATACCATGCAATATACCCACGTTACTGGAATCGCTACTGTAAGCGGGATGGTGAGATGTTTTGGATTGCCACGCGTCTCCATTATAAACAGTTTAATTGTGCACGAGGCTGTGCTAGGCTGTAGACCAGTGGTCTAGACTCTAAACCAATCTCGTTCATCATTGCTTGCTCAGCAAGTAATTTCCAGTAAATTATTTATAGACAAGTAGGTCAGGCAACGTCACATCCAACACACTGTATCGCAGACTGCTTTGGTAACAAGAACTGAATATCTAAAGATGCTTTTTTTTAATATTTGTTTGCTTTCTTCTTTTGTACAGACAGCAGACATCTACTCAGCACAGGAGAGGACTGTTGTTTTAAAGTAATAGATGTACAAACTGGAATGCTTATATCTTCTGTAACCACTGATGAGCCACAGAGGTAATGCTGAGAACGTGCATGTTAGAAAGCTGCAAAGCCAACTTAGCTAACTGTGGAGATGGTTGGTGATAGCAGAGTGGAAAGAGCACTAGTGCCAGCAACTTTATTTTAGTGGATTACTTTTTAGAGTGCAAAGTCTGATGTTCTGGCATGTTGTGTGCATTATGATCAAGCTTTCCAAACTGGGAAAAAAACCCAAACAAATATCTAAGTAAATAATTATTTGGGGTTTTTTTTCAACAACAACATTAAGGTCCATAAAAAATTATGACAGCTATAGCTAGCCAGCTCTTCCAGCAACTGAGCTATGGAGATGTCTAGGAAGGAGACAGTTCTCTTATTTAAATCATATCTGTCACTATTACTGATTTATTTTTTTAATTTTTTTTTTTTCTTTCAACAATCCTAAGGCAAGATTGGCTGTTACAATTAAGGACTGATAATTTTTTTCCACAAAGTGATTGTTTCAGGAATATGAAGTGGCAGAAGTGAAAATGGTGGCTCATGAGAGTACTGGGATATCATACCTATATGTAGCTGACTAGGTCTTCTTCTGTTATAGAAGTATGTTTCAGCCTTCTGTGGGGAGAAGGTCTGGCTGGATCTAGGGCAGTCAGAGAAGCCAGTCTGGGTAACGACCATTTAAAATGATTCGGGAATAATGTTTCCAGAAAGACTGTGTTAAAGGGTAGAGTTTCCTTTGGTATTGTACCTCTGTTTTCAATTCTTTTTTGACTTAGTTTGGAAATGTTTGGCTCTTGTTATACAAAAGCTTGACATGAACTGACTTCGGACTTACTTGCAGGTGCTTCAAATGGGATGGAAACACCATCTTATCGGGAGCTCAGTCTGGTGAATTACTGATTTGGGACCTTCTTGGAGGAAAAGTTACTGAAAGAATCAAAGGACATGCAGGTATGCCTGAACTATTCCTATTCTCAAAATTAATGGAAGATTCCTGTTTTTCAGCTCTGTTAATTGAATATTAATTGAGTAATAACTGTAAAATTCTGAGAACCATCTGCTCAGCCAGTGGGCTGTTCCGGATGTTATAGTCACCTGGAACACCAGAATTAAAAGTAGGTCCATGTGAACCTCTTAGGAAATCTAATAACAGTGGAGGAATATTGCTGTTTACAATACTGGCCAAAGGGAAATTACATTCAATTTTTCTAATTCACACATCTCAAAAGTCAACATTTTTCTACCTCATAGCCCTCGAAGCATTGTATAGACTGTATTGTGCCTTTTGTCACAGTCTGTCCAGACTCAGTCTAACAACAAATTGAGTAAAGTTCACTAGAGAAATAGTTTTAGACGGAGATTTCTAGGCTGATTAAATGTATCTGTACAGTCTTACTATGTTAGCAACCATTAGCTGTGTGAAGGAGAAAAACTTCTCGCTTTTATTTTGTTAAGGTTTTTAAGGCTATTTAACTAAGAGCAGTTGTTTCAAACTTTCCCACTGTAAGCTTGTGCTCTGGAACTTGACCTGTGCAGAGATCATTCCGTAGCTGGGGAATCTTTGCAAGTGGGCTTCTAGGCATATGGTACAAGATTTGAATATATCTTTAACATGAGAAGTCCTAATGGCTGAGCGAAAAAGCTCACTTTCTGCAGGAACTCTTTTCCTAGTGTGCCACCTGCATTCCTCACTGCAACTGATGTTGTCCCTCTAGTACACAAAGTCAGCTGAGGCAATGGAGTGTGAGATCATTACTGTGAATAGGAGCAGCCACCTAGAAGCCTACTAAAATTCTTCTTAGCATATGTGGTGTCACTGTAATCCAGACTAATGATCAGACAAAGATCAACTCTCTTAAGAAGATCTATTTTGTCTGCCTTAGTACCACACCCATTTGAATTTGGATTTACTTGTTTGTTGTTTGGGTTTTTTTTCCCAGGTGCTGTAACAGCCATGTGGATGAATGAACAGTGCAACAGTGTTATTACAGGAGGGGAAGACAAACAAATCATGTTCTGGAAACTGCAATACTAAGTGCCTTTCCCTCCAGCCATTTAAAGGAACTCTAATTTTAAACCAAACCTTTTAAAGGAACTTAACTGCGTGCAATGATGGTTACTGAAGTTCAACCCGATAGGAAGCTTTGTTCAACTTTCTATTTTATGGTGACTTCACTGAGAGCTCTTAACTTCCATAGCATATGCATTTGTTTTTCACGGACTGAAATACTGAAATTGCTTGTCTAAAATGATATCTGAAATTAAATTAAAGACCTATTTTTCTGTAATTAAAGAGCTCTTAACTTGCAGTCATTGTTTGCTTTACATGGAATGCATCATGGCTTGCTGTTTGAACTGGTTTGAGAGAAGAAGCGTTTGATTCTTAATTTAAGCCTTTTTGGACGTGTGCAGCTTTGTATTGTGTCTCATGACATAATGCATGTACCTCCTGTGTTATAGTCAACTTTCCTTCCTGGCGAAGATGCATGTGATTGTAAATACTGCTTAGAACACCCAGGCAGCTGCTGTTCTGAGCAGTGGTCAGTCTGGTCTGCTAGATAGCCTTCAGCTGTGGCTATTTGCAAAGGCATAGAGCAGAGTAAGAACTTATTCTATATTGCATTTTCCTACTGAAAAATAGCACTAATGTACTGGCCTGAAAGATAGACAAACGTAAAACTGATTGCCTAACAGAGAACAGTTACAGATGCATGTGTTGATAGAAGTATTCCCCTAATCCTGTGCCTTAAGTTATTTTATGCTCTGTCACTACTGCCTTTCATCACTTGTGTTACTATCCTTCTCTTAGCAATCCAGCATTTTCATGTTTTGTTTAGTGTTCTCAGCCACTTTCAACTCAAATCCCCTTTGAGACAGAATTTAAATACAGCATTTAAAAGAGCTACAGCTCCTGGGTTATCATGATTTATTCTGTGTTACTCTCTTAACCCAGGGACAAAGCAGCGTTGCACAAGGATTACTTTCTCTGGAGAACTTCAGTGTATCATTTTCTGGGAGGAGCTCTTCTGAAGTGAGAGACTTGAAATAGTATTTAAATGATTTATTACAGCAATAAGCATTCACAGTGGTGATGTTGCCTGAGCATGACCCAAGATCAGCTGGTTTTCTCCACTGCTGGTGTTGAGGTGCCCTGTCAGTGTGTCCAGGACAAGCATTCTTCTGAATTATGTTCTCTCAGTCCTCTGTCTGTAGATATCCTGCCTTGGGTTTGACACCCAGTGCCTATTCCAGAGCACAGCTCTGTCTTTGGCATGGCAAAACAAACGGCCTATGGTTAGGGGCTGTTCTCTCACTCCCCTGATCTTTTATTATGCTGGAGTGTGAACTCACTTTTTAGTAAGGCAGTGGTATTAAACCAAACTGATATTTATTTCAGCTGCACCACTCACTCACTTGGTTTAGCAAATAACTGAATGTTTATGTAATCAAGGAGAGTGTGTGGGGAAGGCACATGGGGCAAAAGAATAAGCCGTGTCACGCATTCCTGCTGGTACCAGTCTTAATCTTGCAGGAGAATGTTTGGTGTCTGCACAGTTTCTTCACCTCTGTTTATTTATTTCCCAAAAATATCTGTGTCTAGGCAAAGAAGATAGAATGTGATTTTTCTACACTTGCCTGAAAATGTGTTGGGGGATTGTCCTTTGTCACTAGGGGTCCTCCTGCTGAGCTAAACCAGAGGAAAATGACCCTGAAGATGTGATCCCTCAGTTTCAACTTAAAACTACCTCAGAGAGGACATACACTTAACCTTCTGTTGGTTAAATATGGATGCCTGCCGTGCATAGCTCTTGAGTGCATCTGAGGTTTACTTTCTGCTGTAAAGCATGCTCACAAAACAGCTATCAGCCAGCTTCTCCATTGCCTAAAGCAGCCATAGCTTTTAAAGAGGGGGGGGAAATCAAGTTAAACTCATTATTGTGTTAGTATGTTGTGTTTGGGGTTTTTTTAAAAAAACATATGTGTGCAAGAACTACATATAGACCACTATTTCTTTGCAGCTTAGCTCGAATTTATCTATGTATATACATTTAACCATAAGTTACTCTCCAATGCTAGGTAATTTTTGCCTTAAAAAAGAGCTTTTTGATTATTCTTTCCCTTCTGGTTGCTACATGCTATAGGTGGAAGGAAAACACTAAATGTACGTGTTTGTTTTTTCCAGTAGATCTCCCCCTTAGTTACAGCTATCTGTTCAATAACAAAAAGATAAGTATTGTTTTCTCATGTTCCCCCAACATGGTTTTGTCTCTGGTTTTTTACTTTTAGTTTTAGACAGATTTTAGTAAGGATTTTAGGTGGCCAAACCCCACTGATCAACCTGTAAATAAGGAGTTTTAAAGCCAGATTAGGTATAGAACTGGCCTCTGCTGACTCATCTGATCCTAAGTAAAAACTGATTAGGGTTCAGAGATCAGCATTTCCGTATGTTTGTTTGGGATTTTTCCAAGGATTTCACAGCTAAGGCAAGGCCCTCAGAGCTGACTGCTGCAGGCCACAAGCCCTGTGCCCATGAGCCTGAATTATACCAATGTTAGATGAAGTCAGCAATTACTGCCAGTGCATACTTGCCAAAGTGGTTCCAGAGACATATAATTTAGTAGCCAAACAGTCCAATTAAAATTACTCCCAGGATGAATTTGATCACCACTAGAGCCTGAAGTGGTGTGATGGTTTTTCTCGATTACCATAACTGAGAAATTAATTTGAGAAACAGGAATCTACACAAGGCTTTTCGTGAGAGGCAGAGCTGAGCTTCCACTGCTAAACTTCAGTCATCCCAGGAAGAGCAGGTCTGTGGCTCAGATCCACAACTGAAGTTTCCAACCCTTCCCCCATTACTGCTTCTCCTGCAAACTGGAAAACTTCCAATTAGCTACACATGCTAAGAAGGGACTGGCAGATGAGACTGTTTATTGCAGACTGCCAACCTCTGAAGTGTTTCCTTTCTTCTTAGTGTGATCTCTTATAAACATCTTTTGAAGTATTATCTCCCTTAAATGGACAAGCAAGTAAATAATTAAGATACCACTCTTCCCAGACCAAATCTGGATCCAGGTCAGTTCTGAAGGAATAGATTCCCCAAATCCACCTTAGAACAAGTAATATCTATACTAAGGTGAAGTTCTATGATTTGGGCTACTGCCCACTATGGGGAGTTCAGTAATCCTAAATCATAAATTTCATAGCTGAAGCCTGGAACATAACAGAAGAAGAAAGAAAATTACAACTGGTATTTAACTTGAGATCACTGAGCTTTAAAGTCTCAGCTGAACATGCCTATGAGCTGTTGTGGTGGCTTGACCCCAACCAGCAGCTGAGCCATTAGTTTCCCCCCTCACCCACAGCAGGATGGGCAAGAGAATGAGACGGGCAAAAGCCAGGAAAACTTGTGGATTGCAAAAGATGGTTTACTAAGTGAAGGAGAAAAAAAGATTAAAAAATTGATACAAAGGTAATCCCTCCCCAGATCCCACCAGCAGACTCATGTCCAGTCTCCAAGCATCAACTGCTTGGGAAAATTTCCCCCCGAATTATTGCTGAGCATAATGTCAAAGGGGGTGGGATTTTCCCTTGGTCAGTTTGGGTCAGCAGTCCCAGCTGTGCTCCTTCTCAGCCTCCTGACTCCCCGAGCCTGCTCACTGGGGGCAGGGGACAGAGTGAGAACCAGGAAAGGCCTTGACATGTTCAGCAACAGCAAACACACTGGTGTGTTATCATCCCTGCCCTGGTCACAAGCCTCAAACACAGCACCACACCAGCTGCTACAACAACAGTTAACTCCCTCACAGCCAGACCCAGCAACCTGCAGGCAGTTTTCAAATTAAATTCAAACTCTACAATAATGGCCAGTCTTCGCGAGCGAAGATCCGGGGAAGGTCTTTACACCTTCCAGCCTGCGCATTGGATTTTTTAGGTGAGACACAGTGTGCGCGGAACTGAGCCCACCCTTTAATCCTAAGGTTCATCTGCCGGGGCCAAGCGAGCTTGGACGGTGGCAGCGAGGTCCTTAGGACGTAGGTGGGTTGCCTTTAAGGGCTAACGAGCCCCACCTGACCGGGAGTGGCCCTGACCGGGAATCGAACCCCGGTCTCCGCGGTGATAGCGCCGCGCCTTTACCACTAGACCACCAGGGACTCCAAACTCTACAACTGACATGTCTTATAGCTGGCTTGTGTTGGAAGGGGCCTTAAAGATCATCTCATTCCAGCCCCTCTGCCAGGGGCAGGGACACCTTTCACTAGATCAGGTTGTTGAGAGTCCCATCCAGCCTGGCCTTGAACACTTCCAGGGTGGGGCATCCACAACTTCCCTGGGCAACCTGTTCCAGTGCCTCACCACCCTCCCAGTGAAGATTTCTTCCATTAAGCACATCTTGTTTAAAGTATCCCAGAGCTCTCCTTCTAAAACATTTCAGTGTCACAGGCAGTGAGCTTATTTAGATATTTTACACTGTGTTTCCTGTCTTCATTGTTGCCTGCAACTGACCTCAATAAAACAAGCCTGTCCTAGCTCATCTTAGGTATGCACACACACGGGATCTAAAGTTTCAGTCATTTATTTGGTTATGTCTGAATCCTTAAAAGAACATGGTTAAGGCGAGAGATAAGCATATTAGTTACAATTTGTATAACAAGTGATAAAAAGATTTGAGTATCTGTACACTACTTTAATTATGTTTACTTACTGACTGATGCCTTGAGCTATATTCAGCTTAGCTGGCATTCTTGTGTAAACAGTATTTACTAGAACAAAAAATTAACTAGTACTAGCCCTACTTCTAATACTCTATTTCAAATCTACTCTTGCAAACGAAAAGCAGTAAAAATACTCATTTGTCTTCGACATACAAAGCGCAGCATTGTCCTGGGTAACAACACGCAACTTTGCAAGTGATACCTGGTTCCTTTAGTTGCAATGGCTTATAGAAGTAGTAAGCTAAATAAGAGACCTATGAAAAGAAGTCATAACACCATTGGAATTTCACATTTGTAAAGCATGTAAGGCTACGAGTTTTACAGTGTGTGAATAAACGAGATATGTTGAACGGTAACATTCCCAGCCATTATAGATGCAAATGCTTGATGCAGCATATCTTCTCTCAGCCCCCAGAAAGGCTCATGTGCAGAAGAAAGATCACTGAGTATAACAGCCCAAGTTTAGTGGAATCATCATTATATATATGTACACACACATCCATGGTGCAAGTTTAGACTTCAGGAACAGAGTGATCCATCAGGCTTTTCATGATGCTAGTTGCCATCCTAAAAAAAAAGGAAAAGTCATTCAGTTTTGTCAGACAACTGCAGAAGACCACTAAAGCTTCTGCTCACTGTATCTTTTACCATTGCTAGCCCTTTAATCCAAATTAAAAGCTGGACTTTTACTCCACTGTTTTTGAGAACAAATATGTTGCTACGGAAAGCTGCACCAAACTGCACACACAGAAGAAAGAGAAGCCCACAATACTCAAGATTTCTGTTAGTACCTGACCTATACTGTCAATATCTTTTGAGATATGGGCATGTGTGCAGAGTACTATCCCACGCCCAAGGGAAGGAGGGCAGGGGGAAAGGAGGCTGTTAGACTGAAACTGCCTTGTAGAAAGAGCATACCAAGCCAAGGGGGTTCAAAAAACAAACAAAGAAACAGGAAAAAAGACTCAATTATACCTGAAGCATTATTAATTTCAAGCAACTTCAAAAACATATTTTTGCAGGACAGATTTAGCTGTAGAAAGCCACTGTTGCCAAAGGATTAGAAAAAGCCCAACTATATCCTGCCAAGAATCGTGTTTACGTCACAGGAATTATTTGCACTAGAAACAACATTTTAGTTACAAGGTAACAAATACTTGTGGTATCCACATAACTTGAAAGTTCTCAGAAATGCAGGCTTAGTCAAAATATGTTTAGAAAAGGGTTTTTCCAGACAGGAAAAAGCAAAGGATCATTACTAACATGTGAATAGGTTAAAAACAGAAACAACACACACAGTTTGAGCAAAACATCAGATGAAATAAATTTTCTGACTCCTCACTACCCCCTCCTCCAGTCTTCATGTAAAGTTTGTAATTAGATGTTAGTGAGTGCATTTTATAGTCACTGTCAACTTGATTATAATTAACACCACGGTTGCTTTTTATTACCTACCTCTTTATTATATACTCATAAATACTGGAAGGCATGACAGTAATGGTCACTACGTTTCCAGCTGTTGCCAAGATGTCTGCAACCTGGGGGTCCTGTTATTAAACAAAAAGTTATATGAGCGACACAACTGGGGCTGACCGATAAAGCTTCAAAAGTTCAAAAGCTTCTTCTAGACATTTCATATGACTTAAGGGACCCACAACTACTTGCTTGGAATATTTAACCTTCAGGACAAATCACTGAACCTGCAACGCCACTTCATAGATATCTGATGATGAGTATCTCACCTGAACTGACTAGAGAAGGGACACAGACATCCTACACAGAATTCCTGTTAAAACTTGAGGCAGGCTGGCAGGAGGAAGCTTGTTCTTTGTTTTGGCAGCAAAGTTAGACTACAGATAAAAACTGAAGGTGAGCCTCACCAGGTAGAGGCAGAGAGAAATTATGATTTGCACTCCCTACCAATACAAAACTGCAAAGAAGCCTCAAAACGTGTGTCTCTCCAATCAAATTACCTCCTGCGACTGACTTTCTTGCTTTTTATGAACATTAAATAATATATTACAAACTTTTTTCCTCTCCAAAACACAAACACTTTATGCACATGAAAAGCTCCCAGTTCTCCACACGCACTACATACTACTTATTTTACCTTCAGTCCAATTACATTCTGGCCATTAATTTCACAGATGTTGTGCTCTGTAAGAAGTCCATTTCTCGCAGCAGAACTGTCTTTCACTATTGAGGTTATTTTTCCATTCTTGAATATGAAGCCAATATGCCCTGTGCTGTCCTTATGCATAGTAATAATGCGTTCAAAAGGTCTAAAGAGACATTTAAAATACAAAAAAATGCTTTCAGAAGTCTACCAAACCACAAAAGGAACCACATGCTATTTTAGCATCTTTGGCTTACAAAAAGTAATTGTACTCTGACTCATACATCAACTATAATGAAAAGTAGTTGGGTTTAACTTCAGTTTGTTAATATTGTTATATCAATATATACTTGCTTATAAACCTTACATGTTTTCCCTGTTCTACAGACATTCTGCACCATCTGGATTAATAATACAAAGATCCCATACAACGTCCACCCACCCACCACCACAAACAAGCACACACAAATGTCCATTAAAAATTAAATTTTCTCTACAAATGTTACAAGATAGATAAAATAACACAGGCAGTTTTAGCAACGGTAGGTGGACCACAGGATTCTGGAGTATAAGGCTTCCCCAACAACATTTCTACTGCTTTATAAACAATAAACCTTTAAACTGTGTCTTAAAAAAGCAGTAGATATAGGAAGGCGGTGGGGAGTTGGGCACAGAAGTGGTAGGCACAGCAGGGAATCTACCACCAGAGTATTTTGATTCAATACATGGTAGAAGTAGCTGCCCTCCACTGGGTCCACTTTGGTTCTTAAGCAAGAATAAACCTGGAAAAGGCTTTGAGACATATACCTCATATCAAGTATCATCTGTCTTCCTGCAGCCTACAGACCTTAAATTGAATCTGACCTGTTGTTGCTACATACAACTACCTACAAGCCCATCATTTAATACAATTGAAAATCTGTACTGGTTCATCAAGCATACTGTTGGTAAAACTGGCATTAATTCATACGCAAGCAGAGTTCACAAGAAAACTACCATGCTAAATAAAATGCAAATTGGTCCATTAATACAGCAAGTATTTTGGTACTATTGTTGTTTCATTTAGTACAAGCGGAAGTCATGTTGTTAAACTCTGAATTGAAGAGTTTTGTGCTATTCTGAGGTTAACCTGTGCTATCACTCACTAGTTTATCTTGGAAAAACATTATGCCTCATCGTGCCCAGGAAGTTTACAAGTTAAGAACCATTTTGATTATTCCCCACAAAAGGGAACATTTCTGAAGATCTTTACTGCCAAGTACATGGACAAACAGATTCTGTTACGCCTGCAGTCCTGGTAAAGCAAGGGGAGACCCAAGCCCCACAGAATTACTCCAAGATGGATAATGACAATCCGTATCTGCAGTTGGCTTTACCTGTCCCGAATGATCATTGAAATCCTTTCTGCAGAAGCCTGTTTCAGAACCTTATGAGCTTTATCAGAACTCCATCCTGCACAGTTTTCACCATTGATCTGCAGAACTTGGTCCCCAAACCGCAGCCCAGCAAGGGATGCTGGAGAGTTTGCCTGAACTAACTGGACAAATATACCCTGCAAAAGAGAAGAAAAAGATAAGATGAGATGAAGTTCTTCCTTAAAGAAGAGGACCAGTTATAGAACACACAGCCCTTTAAAGTTTCCCATTCTCTATGCAATACCAGCCAAACAGGCAGAAGGACTTGCCAATTATTATTATTAAGGGGCATTTTTGAAGTATCAGTCTGTTCAGAGATGCGTTTAAAAGTCTGACAGATAATTTATGCTAGAATAAAGTTTGAAAATGAGCAAATCTGTTCTGTCTAGATCTCTAAACAAAAAACCAACCAAACAAAACCCACCAAAAAACCCCATGAGTTTAACACTGAAGTCTTACACAAAGGGGTAAATACTTTCCCGTTTTAACAGGAAATCTGAACAATTAGACCACCACAAACTAGTGGTAAATTTGCATATCTGCACTGAATTAAACTAATATCTCCTTTGCCAGACATCACAGTCTATAGACAGCTGGAGAAACAGATCAGCACTGTTAGAAACAACATGGTAGACTTCTCCTTCTTTTACAATCCTGTTAGCTTTCAACTTTTTAATCAACTATGATGTGCTAACACCTCAGCTAGAAAACCAAGACGTTACAAAACTATTTCTAGTCAAAGTACCTAAAAATCAAGTAAAGCATATCAAAACAAACTATAAATAATAGCTTTGGGGAGAAGTGGTGTTAAAGAAAACCTCAACACCACCCCATGCTACTCTGAGAAAACCCATTTGCTGTGTTAGGAGGACCACAAGAAGCATTTCAACCCTATCTATATGCTACAGTCAATTTAATTTTTTAAAACATTCAGATTAAATGGCCTTGCCACACAAAAAGAACCAAAACAAACCAAACAAATGAAAACACACCTAAGAAAACACAAACGAAACAAACAGAGTAGCATTTTCCATGTTGAGAATCAGAAGATCCTGAAACAGAAGCTTCAGATCATGTTTAAGGACCTTCTATAGAAGAGGAAAATACTTCTAAGCTGTGGGCAGTTCTCTGCATGCTGCTGAACATTGAGTACTGCCCAGTATTTCCACAAAGA